ATTTTTGCATGCGGATTCTGAATATCATAGTTATTTTTCATATAAAGGAAGACAAACCAGTGGCGGCGAAGCTGTTGAGATCCGTGAAGTTCGAGCCTCCATTGGTTTTAGCGAAATGAGGCGCAGCCTTACTTAATTTAGATTCGATATTCTACGAGAATACATAATTTTCAAGTCTCTTGTACACTTGTTCATGGGTGTTCCGAGCAGAAGATGATCTCCTCAGTAATCGAAGATTGTCGTATTGTGCTTGACTGAAAGATAGAGTTTGTTATGCTATACGGGAAGCCTAGTTGCTTCTTCGCAAAAGTCTAGGTTCAAACGATTCTTTTCAACAAAACAAATTCTTTCGAAATGTCAAAAGTTTTTCATTTCGCGAAAATTTAACAACTGTCTAACTGTGGTCAACTTAAAAGTTCTCTAGACTTTTTGTAAACAACCTCGTTTTGAAATAGTCATTGGAACTGTGGCCGCTTTCAGAGGCAAAAGTTTAAATAACTCCTTCTGAATTGAATGCGAAGATATTTTTCCCCACAAAAACTACAAGAAAAGTAGTCTTTTTTAAAATGTACAAAAATTATTCTTTTCGCGAAAACTTAACAACTGCACGAGCGGCGTAGTCAACTGTAACAATCTCAAGACTTTTTGAAAACTGCGTTTCTTTTCAAAGAGCTTCATTTTTTGAGCAAATGTCACAAGCATGGGCGCCTTTGATATTGAATAATTTTCCGTTGAAATTGTTTTTCTCGAAAAGACTGCAAAAGGAGACAGGATTTTTAGGAATCTGCAAAAACCATTTTCACTTCACGACAAATTGTGTTGAGTTTCGTACGATTTGTGAAGGTGTATCAGAGTTCAAATTTTTTGCATCAAACTTGGTTGGATGGAACAAAACTTTTCGTACATTTTCGACCCGAGAAAGAATGAGCACTAACTTCGATGCGAAAACTATTTGACCCTCAATCTTGGCAACCTTGAGACACTTCTGTACTTGTGGTAATTTGTGATCCAAAAACGAACGAAGAAAACTGGGTTTTCGAGCTTCTAGTCAAATTTCGTTTTATCCGTTTCTGTTATTGGTTTACTGGAGTTGAAAAATACACTTGCTTGACGCTTTGATAAACGTTTGACCGTCGACTTTCGGACAGTGGGAGGAGAAACCCTATCAGCCTCATTTTGATTCGAGACGCTCAGCCGTACCTGGCACAAACCACATCCCGGCTTCGGGTTCTTAGGAGCGGAATCAGCTACTGGGATCTGTACTAGTGACCTTATCTTCATGCAAAACGTACAGCGAGAGGTATCGTCATTCACTTTCATTTCTAGAAACGCAAATACAAAGTGTGCTTCAAGCTCGTAGGAACACGAACATAAACACATTTTACAGTGCTTTTTATGCACTTTCAAGCATGCTGCTATATTTGAATGTTCTTGAACGCCATTTTTATGACAGGTTGTTATAGGTTTCGGATTTCTATCCATCATGTAGTTTGTGTTTCTGGAAACACAAACCACATCCTTGGTTCGTGTTCCTAGAAACGGAACCAGAAACTGACACCCTAGTTGTAATTATTGGGTGTGGGTGTGGGTGTGAGTGTGAGGTATGGGTATGGATGAAGTTTAAAATAAGACCCACACCCATACCCACCCTACTACTTTCTCTAAATAACCTCAGCTCATATTTCTGTTGCCAATTTATAAATCTTCCGCTCATTTAGGACTATTTCAGCTTACGAAGAGAAATTGAAGTTCACAGAAGAGGGTGTGGGAGAACGAATAAAGTGTAGCCAAACACGCCACAATGAATTAATTCAAGTATTTCCACTAGACTATTAATTTCAAGATTACGCGTGCAAATTGTAGGACGAGAGAAAAATAGTATCAAGGCCAGAATGGATGCGATTAGAACGCCGAGTATGATTATATCAGTACTGGTTTATTTTTCTCGATAACACAACGATTCGTTATCTCTAATAAAGTGCAACTGCTTGTTCCCACCACCATGCATCAAATATTCAAACGAGTCCGATTGCCTCTCTATTTTTACTACCTACGCAAAAAAAGATCGCCTTCTGATACTCTATGCCAAGTGCACTTTTTTAAGTGACAAATAAAGGGTTTGCGTGTCGAATAAAGTAAGATTGTTGAAATGCGCCGTTGAGTATATAATGCACAGTCTTTTATTGATAACAGGATACGAAGTGCGTTCGTTATCGAATGATTCGGATAAGCAAATCTGCTAGTGTGCATAGTGACAGTTAGATATTTTCATTCATTCGATGCATTATTCTTTTGCAGTCATTTTTTCGAAGTGAAAATTGATGGAGCTATCGTGATCAAATATTCTTTTCTTTATCGTAGAGGAATTGCAACTCTCGTCATCAGTACCCATGTCTCGCATGATTTTATTTCTCTGTATGCTCTTGGGCGTGTCGTTGACGACGGCTGCTACCATTGAACGAGCAGGTATAATGCAAAAGAGCTTGAATACTGGAGATAAGAAATGAGAATCGTTTTAGCGGCGTCTGTTGTACCTCCATCCATCTGCTACGATGATCTTGGTTGTTTCTCACCACGACCTGGTTTCAAACTCTTACCTCAATCCCCGGAAAAAATCAATACACAATTCTTTCTCTTTACAAGGTGAGTAGTGTGCACTATCGAGGAGAAGGAGACGTCCAGGTTTCTTCCTTTCATTGGAGTAGAAAGCAATCCACTCAACCACAGCCCATCTCCTCCTCAAATTTGGGTTCATTTGATCATGCGAAACAAATCAAATTGATCATCCACGGTTTTACCGATCGAGCATCGAATTCTTGGGTGATCAACATGACAAGAGAACTATTGAAACTGGTCTGTTGCCAGTTTCTTTCTAAACAAATTCACTTTTTAGAGGTAATTTATAGGAAGACATGAATGTGATTACTGTTGACTGGTCCGGTGGCAATCAGTTTCCATATGGTCAAGCCGTGGCCAATACTGTAATGGTGGCCGCTATTATTCGACAGCTTCTTCAAGCAATGATCAATGTCGGTGCACAACCACAACAAATGCACTTGATCGGTCATAGTTTGGGTGCACATATATCGAGTTATGTGGGACGACATTTACCTAATTTGGGACGCATCTCTGGCTTGGGTATATTCATATCAGAAATTATAGACCATTCGAGTTTTTTTTCTGAGTATAGATCCTGCCGGACCTGATTTCTACGTTTCTCTAATTCCCGACCGTCTCGATCCCTCCGATGCTCTGTTTGTGGATGTGATTCACACGGATGGTGCACCTCGCATACACTCAGGTTTCGGTCATTTGGAGCCATTGGGACATGTAGATTTCTATCCCAATGGTGGTTCTGCCCAGCCCAGTGAGTTTCTATAAATTCATTGACAACATGGAACTTCCCCTTTTTTCTTTCATATAGCTTGTGGTAGCAATACCGGTGCCGTCTTACTACAATCGACGTGGAGTTTAATCAGTACTTTTAACGTGGCAAGTGAGTGGAACTCTCTTGCAGCTTCACTTAAACTGCTCATCTCTGGACTTTAGATGCTGCCGACACGCTTGCCTGCAATCATATGTCAGCAGTGTACTATTATACTGATTCAATCAATACAGCTTCACCGGCTTTTGCTTATCCATGTTCAGACTATAAAAGTTTCGAGCAAGGTTTGTGCACATCTTGTGGTTCGAGTCCCGATCGATGCCAACGAACCGGCTATCATGCTTCATCCTCAAGAGCACTTGGTACATTGTATCTCATGACATTGCACGGAGTCAAGCCGCCTCATTTCGGTCTGCGATCATATCAATAGAGAGAGAGAGAGAGCGAAGAAAGAGAACGATCGAAGTTTCATTTTTCTAGGCTTTCACTTTAGAGTTACACTTGAATCGGACATGAACCACAATGAACAGCAAACACGAGGCATCATCAAAATCAAATTCGATGAACAAGAAGAGGATGCATCATTGTTCGAGTATGAGAGTATATACACGCGTGTTCAAATAAATCCATTTGTTCTATTCAGTCAAAATACACTGCTCAAACGTGGCTCTATCAATTCGAAAACGATTCTCATTGCCAACAAGCCTACGGCACTGAAAAAGATCACCATCTCATTTAAAAAAAGTCTCGGTTTTAGTTTCGGCATTGGTCTCGCCGATCAATGGAATTTTCGTTCTGTCACTGTGCTCGATATGCAATCCCATTTCAGGTTAGTCATCCATTGACAAATTAGTAGATAACATGCTGCCGTTTTTTCTTTATCCAGTTACAAATTTTGTCCGACATCGAATTCACCGACGATCAAGAGCGGCTCGAATCTGACGTACAAATCATGTTGAAGTTTCAATCTGATTCTTTCTTTATCTAGCGAGAAATAAATACGATGACATTTGAACGAGCAAAAACATTTGTTCAGCTTCTGTGTATGACTCCAATGTTCTGTGCGCTTCGAATATACAAAGTTCAAAAGGGTGTGGGTGTGAGTGGGTGTGGGTGTAGGTGTGGGTGTAGGTGTGGGGGGGGGGGGGGTTGTGGGTGTTGGTGTGGGTGTTGGTGTGGGTGTGAGGTGTGTGGGGATGGTTGTGGGTGTGGGGTGTGTGGATGTGGGTGTGGGAGTGTGGGGTGTGGGTGTGAGAATTACCTTCACTCACACCCACGCCACCCACATCCACACCCATACCCACCCACGCCCACACCCATACCCACCCACGCCCACACCCATACCCACCCACGCCCACACCCACACCCACACCCAAACCCACACCCCACACCAACACCCACACCCACACCCCATACCCACACCCACACCCACATGAGAGAAGAGAACTTAGTTTATATCTCAAGTCAATGATTGCATAAATTTATTAGTTCCTTTTTAAAAAAATAAAATTTAAATCAAATCAAAATAATATATATATATATATAGATAGATAGATAGATAGATAGATAGATAGATAACGGCATTATAAAAGTTTTACAATAGATAATTGATTTATTAAGTTTGTGATATAGTGGCTAATCGCTGAAAAATTCCTCCTTGTCTATTTATGAGTTCATTATATGTGCCTTTTTCACATATTTGTCCATAATTAACAACTGCTATTTGAGCCGTTGACATATTATTAGCAATAGTTGATAAGCGATGTGTAAGAGTGAAACATGTCGGCATTGGATTAAGACCATTAATAGCATTTTGAATAATCTAGATGTATAAAAAAAAAGAAAAATTAACTAAAATATATAATAAATAGTTACGTCAGCTGAATTAGCATCAAGTGCTGCTGTTGGTTCATCCAATAGTAAAATTTTTGGTTCTCGAATAAATGCTCGAGCCAATGCAATACGTTGTTTTTCTCCAACGGACAACTTTAAACTATCTTTACTACCACAAATTGTTTTATAACCCTAAAATGATATTTCTATTTATTTTACATTGGATTATTCATAAGAGATGCATACTTCTTCTAATGATTTGATGATATGATGAACATTTGCTTTTCTAGCTGCTTCTTCTATTTTTTCTTGAGATATTTCACCTTCTAGTCCATAACAAATATTTTCTTGTATGGATATATTAAATAGAATTGGTTCTTGTTCAACATATGAACATTGTGAACGTAACCAGCGAAGATTTAAATTTTCTATGTTATTATCGTCTAAAAGTATATGTCCACTAGTTGGAAAATAAAAGCGTTCAAATAATGAGATCAATGTTGATTTTCCTGAACCAGATGGTCCTACTAGAGCGATCATTTCGTTTTTATTGCATTTTAAATTGATATTTTTCAATACATATATATCGTTTATATATTTAAAGGAAATATTTTTAAATTCAATTGTTCCTATCAGTTTCGGCTAAAATTTAACAAAATAAAAACCAGTTTGATTAGGTATTTATAAATATCATAAACGTACAAGTATAAGCCCATCGCAACTTTCTGAATCAATTCGAGATTTTTGTTTATTTAATTTTAATATTTTTGATGCAGTTTTTTTTGCTTTACTAAAACTTGGCACTAAAGCAACAGTTCGACCGATTGATGTTGCAGCAAATGTAACGACCGAAAATATTCTAAAATAGATGTTTTCTTGTTTTATATATAGGAAAAAGTATCGATCCTACAGAGTTCTCATTTTTACTATTGAAAAAAATCTAATGATTACTAGATCATAGAATTATATTTTTAAAATTCCGCTAAGAATTTATCGATTAGCATTCTTGAAATAATAAAACGTGTGAAAATGTTTTCAATAAATATACCTGAAAACATCAACAAATGATATTTGTTTTTGTTTCACTAGATGAGAACCGTAACTGAATGCAGCTGCATGAATAAAAAGCATAATAGAATTTGCAATTGCATTCCCAAACGCAATCATTAGTATTTTGTATATTGATTCTCTATGAAAAGAAATTAAGATTTAATGAATATATTTCGAATTAATAAATCCTACCGAAATTCTTGATTGAATTCTTGTTCACATTTATTAATGAAAACATCTTCTTTACTGAATGATTGAACAGTACGAAAATTATCGATTGCTTGTGAGATACACTTTTAAACAAAAAGAGAAAAATAATTATTTCTTTTTACAAAAAAAAATGCAACAAATCTTTTATCTAAATGATATGAAAATCATATGTTGCATTGAAGATGATAAACAATAATTGTCAATATTCTATTATTTAGATTTGAAAAAAAATCAGATATAATACTTATGGCAGTTGTGTTTTACTACAGAAATTCTTCATAGAGTTCTCATTTGATTATGATGGTATGTCTCAAAAAACTTTTGATCAGTTAAAGAGATGTTCTCTTCGTAACTGCTAATTTAAAATAAGATTCGATTTTTCATCTATTCTTTCTAAGTTACATAAAAACCTGACAGAGAGCTTACTTCTATGTTTCAGAAAGTCTTTCTATAACGGTTTAACTAATCTAAAAGTTCATAGATCAAGAAGACGAAGTTGTTTCTTTTATGTCGGTTATGTCAAAACGTTGTTCTACATATGCTCCTTAATAAAATATTGTTTAGTCGTTAAAATCAGTAGATTAAATAATCTTAGACCGTCTCAAACACTTTGAAATTTTAAAATCCTAATCTTTTGAAAGAACTGAAATTTCTACAAAGTCCAAACATATTCAAATCGTTTCAACTATAGACTCTGTAATTCAATTGATAAGAGAGCTCAGGTTTCAATTGAACGTTCTATTCTTATTTATTCTCCTAAAAATCAGATTTCCAATTCCAAACGACAATATCTAATTCGGTAGACAATAAATAAACGTAGGATATTTGTTTTCAGGTTGGTTTCTATACATTACAAATGTCAACGAGTTTATTCACTTAAATATTAGCATAGCCGATAATAATGAAAATGTTGTAGAAGAATTATTGATGATTTTCTACACGAGAACTAAGTGACCAAAGATAATAATTTTAGACAAAAGCTGTTAATATGTCTATATGAAAATCATTAAAAAAAATAATATGAATTCGCTCCACAAAGTAAGAAATACACATAAGAACCTATGAGTTTCTTCCTGAAAAGCTATGACCATTCCTATATCGGCGGAAGAAGTTATATCTAACGATAATTGCGTACGATAAAGATAGAGATTACGCATAATTTGTGTATTCATATAGTTTCTGTAAAGATAAGTACAAATTGAAAATTTTTGATAAGTAGTAACTCAGCCATCTTTAACCACTTATTTGCTGCATTGTTATTGACAAAGAGAAAGTTCCGGTACTCTTAGATTTAATAGAAAAATTCTCTAAAATATATGATGTAATTAAAATTAAAGATGAAAAGACTATAAAAAACATCGAACCATATGAGAAAATTTTCATACAGCAAATCTTGTTGTTAGTTTTACCATTAAAGACAACTTCTTTTTAATGAATGTGTGTACAATGATATTTAGACATATATGGATAGAAGATGAGACAATAGATTTTGTGTGCACTTGACAAAGTACGAAAACTTTTCTCATGTTGTACTCAAAATATTTCATACTGACCACAGTAAACATCCTAGCGATTAATATTCATAAAGAAAGAAAAATTTTTCTAGCATTTTTTAAAGATTTTACACATCAAATTTCGCCTACCATAAATTTTATTGAACATTTTTCTCTGTTTATTATGAAAAAAACTGTGCCATCAGTAAATTTTTATATAGTATTTCATCAAGAAATATGCACGTGTGAAAATATTTATTTTTTATGAGATTCTACTATCCAATATGGAAGAGGAGTTGATTCTTATCTTAAAATCAGCTATTTCAGAAAAGAATTTCTCGATTATCATTATGCTTGTAAATTGCACAGTCTTGAAAAGTCTTTATTGTGTTAGCTTTTTTATGAAGACACGTCGTGTCCATAGTTCAATACAACAATATAGTCATAATTTCCTTGATCAGACAATAATGAGACTACTTGCTCCTAGTCCTTGAATCTTTTTACCTTATTTCCTTCTTGTGCATGAGAAGTTGTTTTGAGTTTGACTTTATTTTTATTTCCTATATTTGTTGAAAATTGTTGTCCTTGAAAGAAAAATAAATATCATATGACATGAAACATTTAGAATAAAAAATTACCTTGTAGAAAAATACTCATAAGAATAATCACTGGTGCAAAACATAATATAATAAGTGTCGATTGCCAATGAATACGAATAGCAATAACCAAAGCAGTTACAATAGTGCCAATGGCATTAAAAAATATTCCAATATTCATTCCATTAAGACTCTTAAGTGCATTACTATCTGTGTATAAATTATTGATTAATGTAAAACTATTGTTCTCTTTTTGATCGAACCAAGCAATTTCTTGTTTTAGTATTGCTTTAAAACTCATCAGTCGTATTTTTGCTGTTAGTTCTTCACCAGATTTCGCAAATGATGATGTAAAACTCATTTGACAAATGCCACCAAGAACACCAATAAAAAAAATGATTATTGCATAATTTCTTGCTTGAACTTCTTGTTTCTGATAGTCTTGTTCTACAAATAATGCGTAAAGTTCACTGAATATTAAAGCAAAAGCTGGTGTTATTGCTCCATAAATTAATGATGCTATGCATCCCAAACATAGATAGAACCATTCCGAACGATTTAATTTTAATATTTCTATCAAAAACATTGCTAATTTACTATTATTATTAGTTATAGATATTTGTTGTACGTCAGTTGACTGTTCTGTTCTTTCGTTATTATTTTCATTAGTATCTGTTGGAATTATTGTTGATTTTTCTAGAATTTTGAAGTAAATTTGTTTTATTGTTTAGATAAGAAATTTTATTACCTTCTTTTGTCAACGCTGGAGCGATAGGATTTTGTTGTGTCATATAGAAATGTCTATATAAACCATCGTGTGCCATTAATTCTGCATGCGTACCTTGTTCAACAATACCCTGTCCATGTTTCATACAAACAATATTATCAGCCTGTTGGACAGTAGACAGTCGATGAGCAATTACCACAATAGTCAATCCCATTGTTATTTTGATGTTGTTCAATGCTCTTATCATTTCTTGTTCATTTTGGTTATCTAAGCGTCAAAGATCATGCAATATAATGAGACTTTAGTTCTTGGACGATCAATGTAGATACTTTCGGAAAACCTCTCATAAATTATCCTGACATGACTAAGATATCCTATACAGTAGAACAGAATTGATGCTGTTTTTTTTATAGCTCTTAGAACTTTGAAAGGTATCTATCTATTGTATAGTTACTGAAAACATTTCTTTTTCATTAACAAGACTAATGATTCACAAAAGAGTTTGAAAAAATCGATTTGATAAACAAGGAATAGGTATGTCAGAGTCAGTAATCTAGCTCAATTCTTCAATGAAAAAGAGATCGGTTGTCTCTAGATATGTGATCAAGGGAGAAGCATGAATCTGTGATTTTGTGATCTAAAATGATTTTAAATGATTTCATTTTAATTTTCCGATGGTTCAAATTATCCGTTTCCCTCTTGTATGTGATAGCTCCAGCTCAGTTCGTAAATCTGAAGCTGATAACTAGGGATCAACCAGCTCTGTCCATGAATTCTATTCATTTGAACTGAATTTTAAATTAAAATTATCCTACGAGAATACTCATAGATCTTCCAAGGCGATCCTATGGCCGCACTATGGGAGTGTTCAAGTTCTACTATACGAAATATCCTGAGCTTTTCCAACCCTACTATTGAGCAGTACTATTAAGTCTTCACGTCCAACTGTAAGGAATATCCTTGAGTTATCAAGTACTACTATCCAGGGATACCCTTCAAGCTGTAATATTCATAAGTACCTTCGGATCCTCAACAACCACTTCCGGTATACTGACTAATTCACCTGTGCACTTTGTTTTCCTTTACACATTACTCGAAGCCCTAAATACACACATCACATTAGGTAGAATGTTCTGAAAAATCCAACGATCTGAGAACGTAACTTCAGATTGTCACGATAATATGAACGCAAACTCTTTCTGCAATTTCATTCTTTCAATTTTCGATCAATCGAGTTTCAGAAGGCTTTTTCTTTTTTATTGAATGGTCAAACACTAGTCATGTCTGGGTTGATCCCAGAATTATCGAGAACAAAGCTACCGAATGAAGATATATGCGTAGAGCTGCGTCCTTTCTATCACCAGCAAACAGAAATTTCCGACCTGATTCGTGAAAAAATAGATCAATCAGATTTCAGGAGGTCTTCTTCTTTGATTCAACGGGCAAATATTAGTCATGTTTAGACTAATCCTACAGTTATTGTGGAAGCTCTATCAAAGGACGAGATATATATATGTGAGACTTGGTCCTCTATCTTTGAGAAATAGAATCTCCCAATATAATTTGTCGCTGGATAAAGAGGTAAATTTTAGAGTACCTTTTTTCCGCATTATTACGGCCATCACTAGTATAGGAGGACACGGTAACCCTATAGTACCACCTGCAGTGACTGTTGAAGCCGTTGGCAAGGTTCAGTTCGTTTGAAACCAACTATTTGAAAAAGCTCAGTTCGCTCAAAAGAACTGTTCGAGTAGTTCAGTTTGTGTCAGTGAGTGCTTTGAATGGTTCATCAATTCTGAATTAAAACCAAGCTTGTCGAGATCTAGTTATAGATAACTGCCATAGATACTTCTTACAAAGTTGGAATGACTAAGCCTTAGTTACTCTTTTTCAATGCATTAGAGCTAGTGATCAGTTCTAGCTTCCGTGAATCAGATCTGCTAACCAGCTGTTTGATTCAGCTTTCGCAAACTATAGGGCTGAAATTGTCACACATTTAGTTGTATTAAATTTTCTCGAAGAATTTAACTTTTGGATGAATAGATAAGAATGAACTGTTTCATCTCTCTATCTATGAAGCTATCTAATCTTCGTAGAGAATTTCTTCCGGATTTCGCAACAATACTGAATAAATCCCTTGAATTTTGATATAGTCGTTATTTTTATTTAACTAAATTTTCTAATGGTAATTATTGATTTTCCTCATCAAAATATATGTTTTTCTTTTGTGTGAAATTTTTTTTTATAGAAAAGATTCTAGATTATGATGGCAACGTAAAAATAAGTGTTAATCAGTCTTTGAAAGATAGTCTATCACCGTTTTTCGGGATTATATTGTTTAAGAAGTGAATTGAGATGAAAATGCAAAGGAATGTATAGGAATAACATTGACTAAAACTTGTCAGAGAGAAACATGAAAGAACGATGAAATGAAATTTAGCTCTTTCAATGTTATTTCATTGAAATAATGTAGTAATCGATTTCTATCAGTAATTATTTTACATAATATGTGAGCATTTTGTGCCATATTTGCATTAGTGATTTATTAGAATTTCTTGTTTTTGGTGAGTATCTTAGTAAGATTCATAGATATTTAATGATACTGCTTACCTAAAGCTGATGTTGCTTCATCTAACAGTAATATTTTAGCTTTGGAGACAAGAGCTCGTGCAACAGCTACACGCTGCTTCTGTCCTCCACTTAAGGATTCCTTCGATTTAAATTTCTACGAATAAGGTAGATGATCGATATTAAGTGATGATTTTCCTTAGATATTTTTTTTGGTTACCTCTGGAAGTTTTTGAATAAAATCGTAAGCTATTGCTATTCTACAGGCTTCTTCCATATCTTTATCTGTGGCATTTGGATTTCCAAATTTTATATTTTCTTCTATTGTATCTAAAAACAGCTGTGGTTCTTGATCAACGAGAGCAATATTTGATCGATATGTTTTTAAATTTAATGTCTTGACATCGTCATTGCCAAATAAAGTCTAAAGATAAATCAAATATGTCTTTGCCATCAAAATAACTAATTCCGATGTAATCTATCAAAAGTTTCGTTTAGAATCACTATGAATGATTTTGCTACTATCAGATACACGGTTCACGATATTAAAATGAGCAATTCGAATGATAGTGTAGTATAGAGAATTCAATGATTTATCATTTTACTTTTGCTATATAGTTATGAAGACATGAGCTTCACTTAATTAAAAACTTGCATGAATCTTTAAACAAAAACAAAAATCAAGTTTTTTCTATTTAAGTAAACTTAACGTTTTTAATCTACAGACATTCTCTTAGAAACGCTAATGATGACTATGCGACTTTGAATAGTGCTATGATTGTTAAAATAAGATTTTTAATATCTGAAATTATGCTTCTAAGGCATCTGTAAAATAGATACTTTAAAATGTCCAGTCAAATTGAAAACAAAAGACATTATTCTCCTATATGCATTCATCTATTTTTACATTTCTAGACTGATGTTAGAGTAATACAAGACAACTCAGATAATACTAAAGTCTTTAGAAGAATTCTTATAATTATGAAAAAAAAAATAATGTTAGAGATGGCAGTTCGAAATCGAAAGACTTGATCTTTTATATGAAATATTTTCAATTCTACTTCATTTTATATTTTATCACGTTTTCATGATCTATTTATTGTTACAAATAGGATTGATCAGACACTAACACATTTGTCATGAAAAATTCCTAAATGTCTAACAATGATTGAATAAATGTTTGTCTTCTAAGTAAAATTCGTTTAGCAAATAAAATACAAGGCCTTTAGTGTACTTTCCATGATATTAGAAGGTAAAGTACGATCGAACCATCCGTCTTTTTTTACATTCAATACCTCTAGAATGATTCGCTCGTTTAGATTGCATTTTTTAGGATATTCTTATAATTATAATATCTATCTCTTCGGAAAACTTTGAAATGAACAATCTAATAGCATGATCAAAACTATTGACCACAAATCGTAGACTACGAAAAATGTACCCTATCGAAGTAGAAATCATGTTTGAGTTATCTATCTTACCCGGCCTTTTGTTGGATCATATATACGTTGAATTAATTTAAATACTGTACTTTCTTAAAAACAATTCAAAAAGTCTTCATTATTGGATATGATCAACAATAATAGTTATCTTACTTCCACATCCGGATTCACCAATAATAGCAGTTATTTTTCCTGATGGAATAACAAGGTTAAAGTTCTTTAGAATCTATTTTTAATGGTAATATCTAAACATAGTTATTGTTGCTAAATTAAAAGTCTTACTGGAGTTTCTCGTGATTTATACACAAATTCAACATTATCAAATGTGATATCTCTTGATGTATTCAATGGTACTTCTATTTTACCTTCATTTTCTGACGCATTAATCTCTGATTTCTAAAACAAACATATTATTTTGTTTTACTTTCGTTTAATTCGAGATGTAGAAAATTTGTTCTTCCTACTCTTTCAATGATATTAAAAATGAAATGCAGAGATATAGAAGTGTCAATCATGCTTTGAATTATTGGTTGTAATTTCGTTAAACCAAATGTTGACATTAAACAAGTAACAAAAACCTAATATTTAAAATATTATCTTTCAAAAATTAGAGGAAACAGTTTTGAAATACATACGACTATGACAGTCCCAGCATTGTAGTTTCTACATTCCGTTCGAACAAACTCGAGACCAGACCTATATACAAATAAAAGGTTTGTACTTAAATCTGTTTTATTATAGAAACAACTACTGCTTTCGGCAACTACAATCTGTTCAACTTCGACATATATCAAACCAATTTCATATAAGTCAAATTCACATTTTATATTTTGATTAATAAAAAAACGATCTAAAAACCAACAATGAAAACGTCTCCTGGTTGTTTTGTTCTCATGTAGGTGTACGCATTATTTTGAAGACAAACTTAATGTTCATATCTTTTTCTTAACATTAGTGGCATGCTATGAAACTAATGAGGAATAAGTCAGGAATTAATCAATTACTTTTGGGTTGAGACTATATGCATAATGTGGTTATACATGAGCTATGCATATCGTGAAAAAAGTTCGGATCGCTAATCCATTTTTATGAAAATACTAAACTTTTACAATGAACTTTTAAAATGAATGTCGTTATTCTTCTGAGAAATATCAGACAACATGATTTTCAGATTTTTGCCTGAAATTTTATACAGAACAAAATCTTTTTAAGCATAGTATTTTTGAAAGTTTCAGATTTTTTTGTTGATATTCCTATCCATAGTTGTAACTGTGATAACTTCGTTCGAATACGTTAAATAATCTGATGTTCTCTTTTCAAGATTAGATTAAATGAAAGCATTTGAAACTTTCATGAAATATAATGGTCAATAACATCTGTTCCAGTATAGGATTTCAGATATAAATTCAAAAATGTTTTTTTTTCTGATGTTTCTGAGTGGAACCACAGCACTCATTAAAAACTCACAGTAAAAGTTCAGTATTCTCTTAATAATGAGCTTGCTACCCAAAATCTTTTACGATATTCATGTGTCATTTTTATGCTTTTTTTTCTTATTCACTTTAATAGCTGAAATCGTTCTCACATCAATTGAGAATCTACATTTTACAAAATTACCATTCGAAATTTCTACAGAAAAGCCTGGCATATTGTCAGTAATTGCACGGTATGTTATTCTTCCCTAACGATATTTTTCTAATATAAGACACGTTTCAATGAGTCACCTTAAGGCTAAAATATTACAATGATTGATCATGTCTACTAAGAATTTTTCTAAGTGTCTTATAGTTTTAGTATGTCTTATATTTAAATTATATGGATCAGTAATTGAATACATGATTGATGGTGATGAATAATAGTTCAATCATTCTCATTATTGATATAAAAAGAAAACAAAATCATGAGCTTACATACCAAAAAATTATTGCAAATGATGCATACAATACTATATTGATAAATGCTTGACAGATGCCAGTATAAAGACCTTTCCTGATTGCAGCTTTTTTGCCTTGTACCAAAAACTGTTCATATCTAAAATTATTCAATTATTATTTTCAAATAAATGTTAATTCATTAAAAAATTAAATTCAAATTTGATATTATTTTCTTCAAGTACAAAATATGGTTTTATTTTCGATATAGTTTTCACGGTTGATCAACTTACTTCTTGAGTTCTTTTTGTTGTCCACCATAGGCTGTAACAGTTTTTATTGCAGTTAAACTTTCTTTTACAATAGCATTGGAGCTGGTAGGTGCAGTTTTTTCTCTAGCTGTATATGCAGTTCCTACCTGAAATAAATCAATCATTTTAATTGAATAGAATCGAAATATTACTATCTATTTGAATTACTTGTCTTGTAATGATAAAAGCAGCTACAATAATAGGCGTCGTACTTAAAAAAACTAATGTTAATTTCCAACCTAAACAATCAATTATTGATGAAAAACAAAATCTTCTAACTAATGATTATTCACATACCAACATAAAATGAGAATGTAAGACTACCAAGAGAATTAGCAGTTGTGCATAATAAATCAACAATATTCAAGCCAATACCTTCACGAATATTATTCAAGTCTCTTAAAAAAAGATATAGATATTGCATTCATAGGCATATATAAAATAAGAATCATTATTGTACTTACTCAATAAAATGATTCACTAGTTCACCTGGTTTCAATGTTTCAAACCAGCTTAGTTCTTGATACATGATACTTCGGAACAGAGCAAATCTAAAAAAAAACATATACAGTGGCCGTCAAAATTGACCAACCACCTAAGGAAAAAAAAATG